TTCTATTTTATTCTAATTGTCTTAATCATGAACAGGAAAAAAAAAAAAAGAATCGAGCTAAATTACACAACTTCATTTATTTTATTTTTTTTCACATTTAGACTTTAAGATAGCTAATTTACAGAACATAAGTCACAAAATCCATTCCCTAAACCCCAAAATTTACTTTGAAACAAGAAAGTAAAAATATCTGAAATGTGGTATCATAATCTAACCATTCAATTGTACAAAGAAAATTAATATAATTTTGCCTCAAATTTCAGGAGATATATTTACAGAAAAATAGATACCTTTTTTCCTGTAGAAGCTCCTGCACCTCGTCCAACTAACAAGTACGTTACTGTACCTCAGCCAAGTAATGCTTCATGATTTCCCTTAACAAGTATATTTTAAAACCTCATATATGAAGCTTTACACAAAAAGAGCTGCCCGCATCATGTCATCATATTGATAGAAGCTCATTTGCCAGAAGCATTTTAAGTAAATGTGACTTTGGCTGCATTGGTAAACTTTTTTTCTTCTTTTTTGAAATGGCCAACTGCGCACATGTTTGGGCAATGTACCAATCTACAACAAGTCGATATGTGAATTCCTAATTCCATTCTTTAACACAACTGAAGGGATGTGTCAAACTTTGTTGAAGGAAAGAAGAAAAAACTAAAGTTTCAGGGGATAAATAATTTGCTCCTTAGAGAAAGTACAATGAATTCCCCAATAGTTATTGCACGTCGTCCAAGTACGTAATGCACTTGTTACATCAGATTATACAAGTAACAAATAAATTCACAATTTTTCCAAACATTGCAGCACATGGTTGTCCTTTTTATCTCCCCCCAGTAACATAGACAAACCTCCAACACGAATATCTACATAATCCCAGGAAAGACAATAAACAGAGCTGACCATGACATTGCCATCAAACTCTTAGAAGCTCATTTGACAAACATAAGCATTTAAAGCAAATCCATGGTTTTGACTACATTAGTTAAGCAACCAACGTTAATCAACTATAGAATTGAAAAAAATTAAACATCTTTTCATTGTCTGAAATGGCCAATTTCACACATTTTTCCTACATACAGAAGATATTCTCCCTTTATGATTTCAAGTTTTCTCTGTTCACTCTGTACAATGCAGAGTGTGAGAAAAAAATCTCCGCACAGCGTGGAGTGTGGTGTCCGCATTGTGCGGATAAATTATAATTTTTATCACTGGACTTAATAAGGAGCAAAATTTTTATAAATAAGCCCTAAATCAATTCAAACGTCCAGTCTCAGTTCCCTTCACAACAGTCAACAGTGTCAAAGATTCAGGTTATGATAAAGTACCCAATAAGTATAATGGTGGGGTTGAATCCGAGCAATCAAATGGGAAGCCTAGCTCTGAAGAAGAGGAATTACACTCCCTACATCCACACTGATGCTTGCAGGCTTTCTCGATGGACTGCAAAGTAAATTTATACATGCACTACAACTCCAGATTCTCTATTCTTTTCTTTAGATTCTCGTGTTTTTTTTTCCCTTGCCATTTTGATTTCTAAGTTGTTAAGTTTGGGATTTTATTCTGTACCCTTTCTAGACGAGGGAATAAAAGTTAAGCGAGTTGATTATGTGGGAGCACTCAAATAAATTGTCATCCTTTTAATGCCCAAGGTTTTCAACTTTTAGAGGGACGTCTAGGTTAATTTGTGGGTCACCTGTTGGGGAGTTGCCATTAGGTTTGCATGATGTTGGTTGATTCAGCTTGACTTTATGAAAGGGATTAGGTTTTGGGATGGTTTAAACAATGTTGCTTTCTATGCTATATCTAAGAATAATATTGTTGTCTAATGTATATGTCTCTATATTGTAGGCATACTCAAAAAATGTGTTTTCAAAGTGTTTTAGGGCTTATGTGTAATGAATCTTCTTTTGGCAGAGAATGTTATCAGTCCATGTCTGCAAAGCCATGGAAAAAGTTAATGATTTTACTTATACATGGTGAAAGGTTGCATCTTGATGTCAGAATTGTTTGGGAAGGAGGTGGGTGCTTAGTAATATTTCTCATTTTTGGATTCCCACCCAATTTTGTGTGTTGCTATTTCTTTTGATATTCATTTTGTTGATTTGATTTAAGAAGTTTACTAGGATCATTGTGGTTCTTTTAAAATATGTCCCCATTAGACATCTCTCGCGTATTAAGAATTGAGGTTCTATCTTAAAAGTTCAACCTTATTAAGAGGAGTAGCTCAATATCTTTATTAATTGGTTTGTGTCAATATCATTTATCGATATGTGATATATATC